AAAAATCAACAACAGAAAGGTGGTGGGGGGAGGAAATTATCCTACCATATATCAAGTCATAGATTTAAGAATATTCATACCATACAGTACTTATCTAGTATACACTATCCTCAGTAACAGACACACACACACACACACACACACACACACACACTCCAATAAAAAATAAAAGGGGGAGGGGAAAGGAATGAAGGAATGTTTGCACTATATACAAAAATTAATTTTATGTGGATGAATTAATTAGATGTGAGAAGCCAACATGTAGCATTTTCAAAAGAAAGAATATTTTCATGACTTTGGGTTAAGGATTTCTCAAACGAGAAACAGAACCACAATCCATAAGGGAATAATTTAATAAAACCAAATAAACAATTTTGTTTAATGAAAGACAAAGAGAGAGAGAGAGAGAGAGAGAGAGAGAGAGAGAGAGAGAGAGAGACACAGACAGACACTGAGAGAAGACAAGTTACAAACTGAAAAAGTTTTTTTCAACAAACTGACAAAGGATAATATCCCTAACAAATCAAAATGACAACCCAAGAGTCATTTTTGCAGAGGAAAAAGAAAAAAAATCAAGTCACTAACACAAAAATGAAAAGATGCTCAATCTCATTAGTGTTCAGGAAAAGATAGATTAAAACCACTGCATAATTTATTTCCTGCCAAAATACTTGCTATTAGTCACAACACAATTTGTTAGTTACAGATGAAATTATCTGCATGCTTCATATCTCCTTCCCTCCTTCCTTGGTAATTTTCCAATCTTTTGCAATCATTACTTTTACTGTAATGACTGGACAAATAAGACTCCAATCTCCCTTCAGCCACAACCCCCTACCCACCACCACTTCATATAAGGAAGCGTTGGTGTTGGTTCTCAAACCAGCAATAAGAACACTACTCATCTCTCATCATGCAGCCCAAATTGCTGGGGAGACTAGCCCCAGCTCTGCTTCTAATGGTATCTTACGTAACCTTTCCTTCTGGATTTCCTTTTTTATTGAACTAACTCCTTAGTGAACTAAGTAAGCTCTAAAGACCCTCTTCAATCTTGCCACTGTCCACCCAGCTCTAAAACTCAGATTCTTAATGTACATATTTTACTAAGACCTTTCTTCTTCCATTTTCCTATCAAATATATTTCCTTTAGTGCACTAGGCATTGGAAACATAAAGGAATAGACACAAGAATCTCTGGGATCAAGAGCCTCACAGACCAGAAAAGAGTAAAAAGTTAAATCCAGCCATGTAGCAAGTGCTACAGCTGAGATAAGGGGCTCTGGTAGACACAAGAGGAAACAAGTGCACTGAGGCTGAGGAGCAGCAGAGTTTGGGGTGTGGAAGTGGCATGAGGCAAGGGATTTTCAGGCAGAGACTAATGTGGGCAAAATCTTGAGAGGAAAAAAGAAAATTGGGCTTATGGAACTTTTTTAATAAAGATTTCAGCATGGGATAACAGCAGGCTTCACATGCTACATAAAGAACTTACAAATTATCTAATAGGCAACATAGTGTCTTTGGGCAAGGAAGTGATATGATGAAACCAGAATTTAGAAAGAATGTTCTAGAGGCATCATGGAAGAAAGAATGGAGTTGTGGTATGGAATACTGGGAGATAAAAAAGGAGAAAGTACAAAGACCAGTTAAAAGGCTATAGTTGTCTGTAGAATGTTAGGTTGTGGAGTCATTAATCAAAATGAGAAAAAGAGAAGTGAATTTTGAAGGGAAAACACTGAATTGGAGGTATCCAATCATTCTGGAAGACATACTTATTAGATCTTGAGCTAGGAAGGAGTTTAGAATTGGAAATATGAATAGCTGACATATATTCAGTGTTTATTGTGTGCCTAGTACTGTTAAATTTGCTTTACAAGCATTAGGTTAATTCTTGTAACTCCATGAGATGGAAGCTAATGTTAAATCTACTTTAAAAATGAGAAAAATTGGCACAGAACACTTCAGTAACTCATCCAAGGTCACCAAGTGGTAAGTACTGGAGGCAGGATTTGAATCTTTTGATTCTTGACACAAACCTGTGCGAATCACTCCACAGTGGTCACCTGAGAGCTATCAGAAGCAGAGAGGGTGAGGGTACAGGAGAATATGTGAAGTGTAAAGAGGACTAAGGAAGGCAGAAGAGGGCACCAGAAAGCTAAGGATAGACAAGTGGACATCAAAGGGAGACAGCAYTTTGAGAAAGAGGAAATATGTAATATTGTCACTTGATGAAGATTCAAGTCAGATGGCAGAACCTGACAACTGAAAGGCCTGGGACATCATTCTGGGAGGTTAGTTTTCCAAGAGGCTAAGGCTAGACTGCTTTGGGTTAGGGAGAATGGAAACAGGTGAAGAGAGCTCCAAAAGACCTGCCTGTGAAAGGAATAAAGATTAGGAGGGTACTGGAAGGTTTTAAGTTGGGACAGTTTTGTTAAAAAGACAGAATTCCAAGCATTCTTTCATGTCCATTAGCAAAAAGTAAAATTCATAAATAGCTCATTAAAAACCTATGAAAAACTTCTTAAGTCATAACAGTGGACTTGGGGACATCTTACAAAGGAATTTTTGTACAGGCTCTTCTCCACACATTGAGCTTCTGATCAGCCACTTGGAGTTCTACTCTCAACAAGTGGATACTCTCACCTAGCTAGAGACATATCAACTTCTCCTCACTTCCTGAAACTAAGCTCTCCACTTTCTCAGGTTTGCCAGTTACCTATGCCTAGAAACTCTTTGCTTCCATGGGCTAGCTTTTTGTTCTTGGAAGCACCCTTTTCAGGGTGGAGGTCGCTGATCAACCTACCAAAATTATACTCCTATCAAAATTATTCTCCATTATAGGGCTGGGGTTGTAGCTCAGTGGTAGAGCACTTGCCCAGCATGTGTGAGGCACTGAGTTTGATTCTCAGAACCACATACAAATAAATAAAATAAAGATCCATTGACAACTAGAAAAAAATATTTTAAAAAATTATTCTCCATTATGGTACCTTATTTTGTCCTTGATAGTACTCCATTCAACCTCTAACTACTTTATTTGATCACATTTAATTGGCTGCCTCTAACACTAGAATATAAGATGCCTCCGGCCTCTGTAGCTTCAGTTCTTAGAACAGTTCCTGGTGAAAAACAGGTGCTTGCTAAATGTTTGTTAAATGAACTATCTGACCCAATTTCTTCCTTTATCACCTTCCTCCATTAGATCATGCATTATTTTTAAACCCAATAGCTTTCCTCAATGTATTAACAAATACAGTCACAATAGCTAACATTTATTGCACTCCCACTAGATAGCTGGCTCTGTACTATAAGCTTTATTTGTACAATTTCAATTATTCTTCTCAATAGTTCTCTCATATAGATAAGTGCTTTAAAAATGATCACAGTTGTACAGGTGAGGAAACAGAAGGTTGTATAACTTGCCCAAGTTCACACAGGTGGTGAAGCCCGGGTTTAAAACCTAGTTCTTCAAAACCAAAACAAAGTCAGGCCACTGCTCATTTCGAGTGAAGGCACATACCTAAGTTTGTGATATCTTGATCTAGTTTTATTTATGCTATGGGATTACACCTGCCCTATTTAAGTCATATCCCAAGCTCAAATTTCACCCACTTTCCCCACTTGCTTTCTGAAGGTGAGAAGCCAGGGCAGCGAGTAATGGAGAACTGTCCCCAACTTCCAGTTCACAGCTTCTCCGGAGAAAGATGCAGGAGGGATCGAGAGACCTACGCGTTAACAACTATCTCTCCGCACTAAGAGGTATCTCAGGACTTAACAGGAGAGCGGGGATTTTGGAGCAGAAGCCAGTTCTGGCACCGCATCAGTGGCCAAAACACTTACCTTAACTGCCACCTCCGGAGCCGAGTCCACCGCCACTGTCAGAGAGGGCTTGGCCGAAGGCGACTTAGTCAAGTGCATGAGAGAGTCGGCGGCTGGCAGCGGACACCTACTGCCCTCACTGTCCGAGTCCGATTCGGACCCTGAACCCGAACCATAAGAAGCGGCCAGAGCTGCAATCGCAGCCGACATCGCGGCAACAGATCCTCTGTACAGACCAGGCCCGGACGGAAGAAGAAGCGGCTCCCAGGTCCTGACAGATCACGGAACACATTATTTACCTCCTTTACTAAGAAATAATCCATAACATTTTGAAACAATAAATTAATCATTACAATAACTAAAATCGGACCGGTAATTTTGAAAAATATAGGAATGTAGAGATGATCATAATAGTTCATAACTTTCAGGACCTATTTGGTTAGATAGAGACTAGGAGTTCTGAAATACCTTGAGGCCGCGAGGTCCTGCACTCCCGGCTTGCAGCGCGGCGGGAAGTACGAAGAGGCACAATGGGAAGTGTAGTTTGGATCGAGGGGGCGGTGCGGTGCAGGAAAGCCTCCCTTAGACCCCGCCCCTGAATGGATGGTTCATTCAATTGGCTATCATCTTCCCTCATTCCCTGGCCAAGCACGGTTCTCTCCGTCCCCCTCCCCCAAACTAAGGATTGGGTAATACCACAGAGCCTCAGGAAAGGGGGAAGAGCGATCTTCGCCCCCTATGATGGGTGAGTGGGCGGAGGCTGAGTTTCCCACCACCGCAGTACCTGGGCACTGGGGGCTCAGGGAGAAAGTGAGAATCTTAGGTTCTAAAACCTATGGGTGTCCAGTAGTACCTCCCGGGGGAAAGGATGGGAGATTAGATAGAGTGAGTGCTGCGGTTCCCCCTGCTTCTAGAGCGGATTCTGGCGCCCGGTTGTGGAGCGTCGCGCGCGGGGAGGGGGCGGGTGGGGGGCAGCGGCGGCTCGCGGTGTTGTTCGCTCGCGCATCGAACACATCGTGGGTCCGGCGACCGGCAGGCGCCCTAGGCGGCATTCCTGGTGGCCCGGCGCTTCAGCCGCTACCCGAAGCGGGTTCCGCCCCGGAGCCCGACGCTCTTGTGGGCTGCAGGTGGAGTCCCCGAGCTGAGCGGGACCGGCGGCCGCCGCCGAAGCATGAAGAAGGGGTAAGGCTAGAGCCCCCCACGATTTCACGGTGAGCGCGAGTCTCTCAGGAATTTTTTTTTTCGGGGGAGGGGATCCTGGGAAAGGAACTCTTCCTACCGACCCGAGCAAAGAGAGGTGTGTATGGATCTCCGGTCCGCAAAGGTTGCGGGGATGGATGGGCGCGCCTCCCCCGCGATGGCCCCCACCCCCATTCCGGGTTTCCCGAGCTCCCGCAGCCCACCAGCCACCCGGGCTGGGTGCCGAGGAAGCCGGCGGCGGGTGCGTCTGGATCTGGGTTGCACCGACTGGCTGGAGGCAGTTCTGGGCGGAGAGACTGCGGGTCTCACCTGAGGTGCTGTGGTCTGGGATCCCCTGCCCACCGGCACCCACGAGCCGCCCCCGTGCCTCCTCGCCCTAGGAGAGGCTGCAGCCCGGGATAACGGAGAAACCCCGGCTCGCTGTACGTGCCCGAGGCTCTGTAAAGCAAGCTCGTGCCTTAGCGTGTTTGCGCTGTGGATCTGTCTAAAAACAGAATGGTAAAGCGAGTGCGGGCATCCTTTTTTCGTTTGAAGAGGCTAAGCGGTGCGGTCTCTTCTGATGCCTGTTAATGGGGAGGTGCCTCGGGCAGAGTTAGGGAGCCGCTCACTGAGCTCTGATGTCGACAGGACTCGCCCATTGTGCCACCCAGATAATTATTCAACTATGCAGCATCCATTGCACCTTTCCCATTTTTCTTTTCCCCTTGCTACAGCATGCCCCCTAGCTTCGATACTCTGACACCTCTTGCACTTAACCGATGATGAACTAGAATAATGATGAAAAGAAAGCATATTCGACCTGAACATTCACGACCTGTCCTGTAACCGATTAATTAATTAATCCCCAACTGAAGTAGGTACTTTGATACGACTAATTCTAATACTATCCCTTTTTATATAAGGTCTGCCTTGGATTCTATTTTTTTTTTTTTAAATTGAGGGGGGGTAGTGTTAGATTTACATGTTAGCCGAGTCTTATTTTTTAGTTCAGTAATTGATTGTAATCGATTTATTGGCTATTCAACTGGTCTAATGCTCTTCAATTTGTATAATAGATAACTTTCATTTTGATAATTGTAAATATCATTGTATAATTACCAATGCAATCTAAGTTTAAACTCTCAGGAACAGTTTGCCTTTTAAGATCTAAGTTTCTGTTAGAAAAAGTACTTATTTATAGTGAATATTTGAATAAAGAACTTGATATAAAATCTCCCAAGTTTGAATAGGAAAAGTTTTGTATTTATTTTTTAGCAACAGAATATTTTATAATCATAGCCTTACGTTGAATGAAAGGAAGGATTTAACATTTAAGGTGGGGTCTTAATAGATCATTCTTTAGTTTATCTGAGTTTTATTTTTATTCACTTCTTTTCTTTGCAATATCATGTATTTGCTTGTTATGGATTTTTTTCTAATTTTTCTAACTTCTATCTACAAGAATGAGTAGACGTCAGTTTTGCACGATCTACCTGAAAAAAGAAGTATTATTTTGAAAGCATAAGAAACAATTGTTGGTTATAATGTTGCAGATTACCATTTGAGTCTCATGCTTTAAAAATAAATGTTTTACTACCAAAAATGTTTTCTCTTCTTTTTGTAATCTACCTTTTTCATCTTTCCTTGTTTTAAGCTTGTTGCATTAACCCTTTTCATGAAAAAGGAATTGCACATAGACATTGCAGATACAGTTTTAAGGTACAGTAATTGTTAAATGGAACTTGGAAGAGGCGCACACAAAAGTTGATGATGTAGAATCAGTTGTTTGGTTACGAGATGACCTTGCAATTTACAAAATGGACACTGTTTTGCCTTGGTTTCCTTAAATGTAAATGGAAATAATACTTATTCCACTAGGTAGTGTATATAAATTCTGTAAAGATGTTTTTATGGTGGTTTAAAGAAAATGTGAATGTTTTAATTAGTGATAATGACCATTTCAGTGTAAAATACCATCAAAAATGTTTTTAGGATTTCCCTGGCACTTTAGATTGGCTGATTTACATTGATTTTTGCTTTGGAGAAATATGGTTCTAAATTGAAGAATTTCTTTTTTGTTGTTGTTCTTTTTTTTTTTTTATTGGTTGTTCAAAACATTACAAAGCTCTTGACATACAACAGTTACTAATAGGGCATTATGTAAAAATGTGGATGTGTAACCCATGTGATTCTGCAATCTGTATTTGGGGTAAAAATGGGAGTTCATAACCCACTTGAATCTAATGTATGAAATATGATATGTCAAGAGCTTTGTAAATTGAAGAATTTCTTATCAAGCGTTTTTAACTCTAGAATTACTAGTTACTATAGCTAATACATGTGTACAGTTATAGTATAGGTATAAATAGTTAATACTGATGAAAACATGTGATTTGGTAGAAAATTCAGTCAAGTTTGTGAAAATAAAATATCCAGAAAATGTTAAGGCTTTTTCATTCAAAATTTTTCATGAATCAGCTTGGGGATATTGCTCAGTGATAGAGTGCTTACCTAGCATGCATGAGGCCTTGAGTTCAATCCCGAGCATGCAAAAAAGAAACAAAAAATTTCAAGTGGCACAATCCAAAATATATTATTGTGATCACTTGTAAGGTATGGAGCTACTTTGTTTACTTTTCAGGTTGGTACATATCCATATATTCACAAATAATGTAAGAATATTGTATAATACTGAAAGTATACATTTTGCTTAAWTTTAGAAATAATTTAAGATGTCTTTTYCAAGTATTTGATTTTCATTATTGTAGTAGATAGTAGCTTTTGATTTCCTTATTGGAAAGTCAATTCAGTCAACTTTCATAGCAAAACTACTTCTGAAAGATTATATTACTAGAACTTTTGCTGAAACAATGTTTTTGGTTACTTTGTGGTAAGACTTTTTTAAAGTGTCTTTAAAATTACARTTATAGGCTGGGTGCAGTGGCACATGCCTGTAATCCCAGCAACTGAGAAGGCTGAGGCAGGATGATTGCAAGTATAAAGCCAGCCTGGGCAATTTAGTGAGGCCCTGCCATAAACAGACAAACAAATAAATAAATGGGGGTGAGGGGTGTGGCTCAGTGCTTAAGCATCCTTAGGTTCAATCCCTGGTTCCAAATAAATAGATAAACAAGTAAATTACTGTTACATATGTTTTTTAAACAATTAATTTGATTACAATTTATATATTTTTAAAAATGATGAGCAAAAATATAGTAGTCATTATCAATTGGGTAAATACAGTTAACTAGTGGTTTTTCTTAAAAGAGCTAATCTGAAGCTTATTGTCATAAATGCGTGGCAGCATAGTGTTTAGCAGATAGCAAGGATTCAGTTTTCTTTGTTGAACAAATAAAATGAATGAGTGAGAAATAGCCACTGAATTAATATACTAAGTGAAAATTGTTAAAAAGATTTATCAAACCTTTTAATTAATGCAACAGTTTTATCTTGAAAAGTGAAAATAGTTTTTGGAGGTTCTTTGAGAACTTTTACTTTTTAAAAAAAAATGTATTATTTTATCTCTTTATAATCCTTTTACCACAGCTTTTTAAACTAGTACTAGATACTGAATAATGTATATGTTAGCTACTTAAATGAAATATTAACAATTTTCTTCTTATAATTCATTTAATTAAAATGTATATTAACTTTTTGTTACTGAATGATATAAAAATGTTTTTCATTCTGACTTAAGTTTTCTGGTGAAATGTTAATTAAAAAGATGGATGTAAATTAAATCTTGTGCAAAATGTCTTGAGTACATAATTTTAAAAATAAATGATCCCAGAGGTAGAACTTTTTATAAAATTAAGAATCTTGTGTTTTTAGTTTATCATATTCAGCTTAGAATTTTGAGTCTTTGTGTGAGTTGGTAGTCCTAACTTAGAATGGGACTTATTATATCCTTAAAATATAAATATAAAGTGGTTTAGAATCTGGAATTTATTTTTTCAGACACARTATGCTTGGTAGTTAGATTCACAGAGAACCCACTAAAATATTTTTAGCCTGTAATATACCTGAATTATAGGACATGCCATTAATACTAGACAATTATAAACTTATAATAAATACTATAAAATATTTATAATACCATGACAGTTTTGTCTTGGTATGGTCTCCTTCACCCACTGGATGTGAAGAGGAGGATATCCTTCCATTCACTGAGTAGTCTAGCTTTATATCATCTAGGGCAGGAAGTTGGGGTGTGATAGAAATTGGAAGGAGGTAGGGTCTTCTACATGACTTTACCTCTCAGGGTTTTTTGGTTTTGTCAATTGTAAAATCAGAAAGTTGAAGTAGATGACTTCTGAGTCCCTTTTAGCTACAATTAAAGTTCTAAGGCACTTGAAAGATCTAGATAACTTCTATTTTTTTCGGGAGGGGGGCATGGGGTTCCCTTTTTAATATTACTACTTACATACTTCCTGTCAGGGAATCTATTCTGGATCTACTTCTGAAAAAAGATTATAGTTCTAATTTTTTTTCACACTGCAATTCTCATATGCAAGACTTTTTAGTTTATTGTTGTTATGTTTGCTTTTTTATTTTGTTTATTTTAATTAAAAAAAAAACTTCTAGCACAACCAAGAAATGGAATGTTGTGGGGTTTTGACATAGGTGTGGTAGAGTTGGAGACAGAGTGACAAAAAAGAGTTTATCGACTCCTCAAAGAAGGAGACAGTTTGAGTTGTTTTGGTTTGGTTGATTGTTTAGCTTTGCTTTATTTTATTTTTGTTTTCTTCATGCCTATTCTTTAAGCTAAATGGATTTTGAGTAAACAGAATTAGTACAGAATACCAGACAAATAGTTCTTTTGGACAGCTGGTAGGAAAGATCAGGGTGCTGTGAGAGAAGGGGTCATGAAACAGCTGTTTGTCGTGTACATTATTTTGTAGAATTTTAAACAATTTCTTATTTGAAGATTAATGATATTCACTGCTAATGTGTAGCATCATCTCCTAAGAGGAAAGGAAGTAATATTGCATGCAAGTCACTTTATASGTACTATTAAATTTATTTTATTTAA